ATTAAGCTTATTGGCGTCCCCGGATTATCTGGATCATATGCAAGCCAATCTCCACAACGACGAGCATTATTGGATCATCTTACAAAAAACAATTTAATGTATTGTAAGATCCTGCTTATCACCAGACGTCAATTTGTCCAGTCTAGCGAAACGGATAAACTCAAATAATCCTAGCATCGTCGCCGTGCTAACTACCATAATCGATTCTGGGAATAAATCCTAATAGTAAATTAGCATCTTGCTAAAGCCGAGGTGTCTCAATTGTGAAAGCGGCAACGTTTAAAGGATAACCAATCTACCTAGGTACATGCCATGCAAATTTGCTTCGTACTGAGTAACTTCGCCATTACTTTTTTCCTCGCGGATATATTTCCTCCGCTCCGAATATGATTGCTGATCCTGCAGCAAATATCCGTGATTAGCACAGGCTTGGGCAGCTGTTAGAGCCCGCTCTCAATATTGAGATTGAGTAAGTAGAGCAAATTACACGTCAAATCATCTTTCTACCATACTCGGCTGCCTCAATCGACCGGCTGTCTGCCCGTACTTCCATATTCATCGATTGCCTCTGAAGATCTCGGTTAGCGAGCTTTGATAATGGACTTCAATGAGATATATCCGACGTGATGAGAATATCTTGGCGAAGATGGAGACTATATAATGAATCTATTTTCGCTGTCAGTAATTCTACATCCCTCAAACACAATCATCAACATCCATTCAAAATGATTTCGAAAGTACTTGCCTTCACTTCTCTTCTAGCGGCCGCCCGCGCACAACAAGTCGGTACGCTTACCACAGAGACTCACCCTCCTCTCAGTGTTAGTCAATGTACTGCAAGTGGTTGTACTACCTCCAGTGCGTCAATTGTCGTCGACGCCAACTGGAGATGGCTTCACTCGACCACTGGTTCTACCAATTGCTACACAGGCAATACTTGGGACAAAACTCTCTGCCCTGATGGAGCAACTTGTGCTGCAAACTGTGCTTTGGATGGTGCGGATTATTCTGGAGTTTATGGAATCACCACAAGTGGTAATTCGCTCAAACTCAACTTCGTCACCAAGGGCGCAAACACCAACGTTGGCTCTCGTACCTATTTGATGGCTGCTGGATCGACAACACAATACCAGTTGCTTAAGCTTTTGAATCAAGAATTCACATTCGATGTTGACGTTTCAAACCTTCCATGTGGTCTTAACGGTGCCTTGTACTTTTCTGCAATGGATGCCGATGGAGGATTGTCCCGTTTCCCAACCAATAAGGTATTTCAAGAATTGAAGCCCCATTCAAGGAATAATGCTAATCATTATCAATAGGCTGGTGCCAAATACGGAACAGGCTACTGTGATGCTCAATGTCCACAAGACATCAAATTCATCAACGGCGTAGTAAGTATTTGATTCTCTTTGTATTCTTGGAACTCCACCATATCCTAACAGTATCGCAGGCAAACTCTGTAGGCTGGAATCCATCTAGTAATGATGTCAATGCTGGTGCAGGACAATATGGTTCATGCTGTACCGAGATGGATATTTGGGAAGCCAACAAGATCTCTGCCGCTTACACTCCTCATCCATGTTCTGTCGACACCCAGACTCGCTGCAGTGGAACCGATTGCGGTATTGGATCAAGATACGATTCTCTTTGCGATGCTGATGGTTGTGACTTCAACTCCTACCGCCAGGGTAACACTTCATTCTATGGTCCAGGTCTTAAGGTGGACACCAACAAAGTTTTCACCGTTGTAACCCAATTCATCACCAACGATGGAACCGCTTCAGGCACCTTGAAAGAAATCCGAAGATTCTATGTTCAAAATGGCGTCGTGGTTCCAAACTCGCAATCTACAATCGCTGGAGTGCCAGGAAACTCCATCACCGACTCTTTCTGTGCCGCACAAAAGACTGCTTTCGGCGATACCAACGAATTCGCCACTAAGGGAGGTCTCGCCACAATGAGCAAAGCTTTGGCAAAGGGTATGGTACTTGTCATGTCCATCTGGGATGACCATAGCGCCAACATGTTGTGGCTCGATGCTCCTTACCCACCGACCAAGTCCCCAAGCGCTCCAGGTGTCACTCGAGGATCATGCAGTGCTACTTCAGGTAACCCAGTTGATGTTGAAGCCAACTCTCCAGGTTCTTCCGTCACCTTCTCCAACATCAAATGGGGTGCCATCAACTCTACCTACACTGGTGGAAGTGGATCCGTCCCATCTGTTCCAGGCACTACAACCACAACCTCGAAACCCGCATCCACCCCAACTTCTGGAGCTGGTGTCGTCAAGTTTGGCCAATGTGGAGGTACTGGATGGACCGGAGCTACCGCTTGCGTTTCTGGCACCACCTGTGTTGTAGTGAACCCTTACTACTCTCAATGCCAATAGATTGTTCCCCTCAGGGACAATTAGGGTTTTCAACCCAAGCCGAGAGATCTCCACAAGTCTGTACATAGGATCGGCTCAATGTTGATCATTCATCTTCTTTCATGTATTTAGTCATTGGCAATTTGAAGTTGTAGGTTGAGACGGGAAAACAGAAGCAGGAAACGTATGGGGGTATAAGAAAGTCAATCGTTTACACAGAACCTTCATTGATAATTCAATCTTGCAATTTGATCTGGATATGTGAATCTTCGTGATTGATATAATTGATGCAATGCAGTGGATGAAGTCGTGATGGTAATCTTTAGATCCGCCACTACCAATAGTGCACGTGCTATGATGTTTGCTTATATAATCGAGAAAATATCGAATTCCTTAAGGTTAAGACAAGCAGTATTTTACAACTTCACACTTTCAATCAATGTAACCTTCGAGAAAGAGATGATATCACATTCGAAACTGATACTTATATTGTATATTGATGCCCAATCGACCATCTACAACAATTCAAGATTCGATATGATCACGTCCACGATTTGTCCAAAATGTGAGATGATACTTCTCAATTTCCTTCGAGCACGGCTTGACCAGGCGACCAATTTCTCGTCCGAATAGACTATCTAGTACAAAATCTGAAGATCAGAGCTACGAGAAAGATCCAAGGGTTTAGATAGGTCGAGCGTAAAAGGAAATATGTGTTGATATTTCGCGCCACTCGAATGCTTATCCCACAGCAGATGATATTCGTGTGATGGAAAATGTGGCCATCGGAATGTATCAATATGGGGTTTCGCACAAATACCATCACCCTAAAAGAGCAATCGTCCATCGAAAAACAATCAAACCTTTCTTCGAGAACTGGTTTGGGCACATCATAGCTTACTGAGTTGATTAAATGGCATAATAAGTTACCATATTCTTTCGAAAAATTCGTACAGAGCTAGCAAGGATTCAATATTTAAGCTCTTCGTAAGTTAGAGTTGCAGTATACACTGGAATTGTCTGATTCGCCTCCTTACCAGATTATTCATCAAATGCCTCGAAATTCTGCTAAATATTTCTATTTTGAAGCACTTTACCCTTAAAGTAATGAACCTTGCTAGCTCTGTAGGAATTTTTCGAAAGAATACGGTAGTTACATAAAATGATGGTAATGGACCAACATTGATCTCTATCGTAATGAAGTGCGACTTTAGGCACGCATGCCCTTGTCGATATTTCGCCAGTCAATTTTCAATACTTGGAATTGGGTCTAACCAAATCAAACTCTAGACTCCTGACTCCAGACTCCTGACTCTAGACTCCAAGGCTAATAAATTCTGCTGTCATCCACGAACCGCCGTTGATTTCCCTCGGGTAATTATTTACAGACTAATAACGACAGGATTTTGTTGTTCACTCTCATTGAGGCGACTCCATCTGTCCGATCTTTATGAGGTCGGATGATCCCCCACCATATTAATAGTTTAGCTCACGGTCATTGAAACAATGTAGATACTCTCCAAGATACTGGCGCAATACTATCGCGAGGCTATCAACCCCTCAAATCTATTCCATTAGATTATCGTACGCAGGAAAAAGTTTAATATACAGTTTTCTTTTGGCGCATTGGTTGTTTCTCACCGAGGTGCTTCCTATCATCTAGATCTTCTTCCCCTGAATTCAGGGTCCAAATTAATTTGGTACATGACCCCATAAATAGCATCCTAGTATGTACTCTTTCGTACCTTTCATACCTCTCGTACCTCAACCTCAACCTCTCTTTCAAGAGGTTTTAGCTTACACCGCTCTAGGTCCCTCCTTTCCACTCTCGCCACTGTAACTGTTTCATCTCAACCTGGAACCACGAATAGCCTAGACACAGCCTGCTGATCCAATATCGGCAATTAATATCTGATGTGGATTATATACCGGCTAAGACCTCCATTCTCGAACTTTGGAAGAATTCAAAGAACCCTTAAAAATGCTTCTCTCCACTAATAATCCACATCTAAACCCTTCCCCGTCCGTGTCGCCGTATCCGCGTATTCCATAGATCTAGCTCATCACATCTACAAATCACAATCCTTCGAATTCCCATCAGATGCTGATCCTATCCACCAGAACCGCCTCCGCCTCGTAAGAAAGATAAAGCCCAAAGACTCAAGATTGGAGGATGACAATGTTATTAATAACACTGAGACGTTGCATAAACATGGTAAATTAAAGCACCGACTTCCGATGTCAACACGCGGTGCAGGGCTCACTTAGCAGACGCTTTCTGGCTGAATCAGGGGAAATGTCATTTTCTCCCAATGGTACCTTGACAATATTGATGGAAGGAGCTCTTAGATGGGAAGGTCAATGTAAAGTATATCTTTGAGCGACTCCTCTCAATATATGCCATTGTCTCTTTTAACCTGTTCTAAAATTTAGCTCGCTTTATACTTTGATCAATTGACATTTGCATTGATCGATCCGTTTCAGATAACGAGGCACCACACACGTGACATCTCCGACTCGAAGATATACAAAATTGGATATTTTCTTCAAATTCTCAGGAAACTTCATCTGAATATTTTATTCAAACAGCTCCCTTTACCAGCACTTCAAACCGATCCAAAAAAAAGTCAAAATGTTTTTCTCACCCTTCATCACTGGGCTCCTCCCAATTCTAGCAGCTACTTCCACACAAATCGAAGCTCCCCAGCATCCTAGCATATTTATCCTCAGCGATTACGCATCCAGTACCTCAGCATTGGGAAATGCCCTCCAAACTTTAGGATACACACATATCTCCGCCGAAACATTGAATAGTTCGTTACCACAACTCAGTACTCATACATTTACCGAACTCTCGATGGATGGCGCATCCAACGAGCTCATGATTCAATACCCAAATACCAAATTCATCGTCCCGGTCTCATCGTCGCGGAGACACGAAGGAAAAGTTGATGCAGAGAGAAGACCCTGTGCTAATAGCTGGCTCAATCATTTGGCTACGTGGAGTAAATGGTCGCAATATACCTCAAACGTCAATGTAGCCGAGGACATCACAATCGCTCAATCCGAACAATCAGATTCCGTGACCAGCTCGCTCAAAAAGGAAGGACGATTATTAGAAATTGCTCTCGACGAGCAAGAGAATCATAGAGGCGAGAAATGGTTGAGATTATGCAAGTTTCTGGATTTGGGATATAGTGTGGTGGAAAGATTAAATTTGAAGGAGTTTCCTTCATCAATAGGACAGGAGAAGAAAGCGGCGGGCTGGGGTGGAAATTTAGGAATGTGGAGATTGGTCATGCAGGGAAGTGGTGTTTGAAAGATTGATGATGATTGAAAAACTTTGAGAGAAAAAGTTCCTGAGTTGGATATGGGAAACTTCATGGCTAGGATATAAAAATGGCTGGTCGACTTGCAAATTCTCCTGATGCGTGCCGTTACTTACGATATACGATAGTTGCGGCAAGGAGGAAAGAAACGTCACGTGGTACCAACTATCTGTCACGTGAGGAGTACTCACTCTTGAAGCTGAGTTTCTCCTGTGGATACAACAGGCTTGAATTCCAGTATCGCATAGTCCCTTTTCAAAGAGACTGATGGGGGTGCTGCTCATGGAACACTTAAGACATATAGCTCTGAGATACCGACAACGAACCTTGGCACAACATTAGGTTAGATAGCTGAATCGAGATACTATACTGCTCATACACTGATTCACGACTTTCATTTTTGCTTCATACGTGGTAATACAATTGTGCAATAGACACTTACTAGCCTCCTCTGATCATGTACCAAAGCAAGTATTCTAGGTCAGTAAACGAAGTTCATCACAACATCGTTCGCCAAGGAGGGAGAAAGCTACCTAGTGGCAATTAAGCATAAGACCAAGCAATAATCATTCAATCGACTTGATATTTCCATACCATCCTCCCTGAATTCTCTGCAAAAGTTTAAACAGCTGTACCCACCCACCTATTCAATTATGTATATTCCGGCGCTGGTTTCGCGGATAAGTTACTAGTTTCGAGTTCATCATATCGATCTATGAGACTGATGCGAAACGTGGGAAATGATACTAGCTGCCGAAGGAAAGTATCGAGATATCTGAGTCGTGAGGGATGGGTTCGCTGTGCTCACTGATTATGCAAGTTTTCATTGAATGATATGATTATAGTCATAGCACATGGAACGTCAGCGGAGACATACTTGTCACAGCGAGTGCACCCTAATCATTGCAAGTAAGTTAATCACAACTATCGCCTGCTCAAAAGTCAAGACGCAAAAAATATACGACATAGCAATATCCTCCATCCAATACCGGAATCCCACAAACACATTCTCCATCTCCCCAATCTCCATCTCCATCTCCATCACTATCTCCCCACCACACACCCCGCACAAAACAAAACAAAATTCAAATAATATTCCCCTTCCCCTCCCTCCTAACATCTCGACGCCACAAAAACCCTCGTCTCCAACTGATGAATATACTGCTGCACACTTACATTTTCCGGGGACTCGCTCAGATACGAATTTAGAATATAATTACTCGCTGCAAACACACATCAGCACTTGAAATCCAATCCAATATGCAAGTTCTCCAAAAAAAAAAAAAAAAAAAAAAAAAACTCAACTTACCAAAATCTCTCAATTCATTCCACTCATTCACAATTTTTTGCATCTGCGGTCTCGCGAGAATCATGGGCGGTATATTTTCAGTATCATTATCGATTAATTGTTTGATGGTTTCGAGATCGGTGACCATGGATTTCCATGCACCTTGGAGTAATTCGAGGGTGCGCATTGCGGGTCTGATTTCGCCGGTGAGATTATTGACTTGGCTCTAAGAAAGGCATTCGAGTTAGGGATGTGGGCAAATATAGAGGGATTGATCACTTACATTGACAAAACTGATGTTGAGTTGCAAGCGAGAAGCAGTTTTCTGTTTAGCTTCATATTCATCCATCACGGCTTGGATTTGTTCCATGGCTGCTGTCATACCCTTGATTTCGTTCTTGGCTGCTTGAACGAGACCGACTCCGATGAATGTTCCAACTGGCCAGCTGGATTTGGTTAGCTAAGTTTAACAAAAGGAGCTTTATTCGATGGACTTACACCCACATGTATTTGGGAGCATCGGTTATGACTTTATTCTCTGTGACACAATAGAATCGAGTCAGTACATCATCCACAAGAGGGAATGAGAAGCTCAAAGTTTCTTACTTCCATCAATCCTGGCCTGGTATTCTTCCAGCTCAGCCTGAGCCGCATCAATCTTCTTCTGCATACTCGCAATATCATTACCCTCTCTGACCAATTGAGCCTCGAGAGAAGTAGCATTGACTCTCATTCTAGCTTCATGTTGTTCACATTGACCATGAAACCCTTGCAAGCCGGCAAGTGCTGCTTGTGCTCCAGCCTGTAATTGTTTGATCACCCTAAGTTCTTCGTTGACTATCCATTGTATACCTTCTTTGAGTTCCTTTAATTTTGCTTGGTCAGGATTGGGCTTGTTGTTCTCGTCGTGGAAGTCACCGATCCATTTTAGCATAAGAACTGTATAGGAAGTTTCCTCGGTTCCACCTGACATGGTGGCGTAAATTCTGATTTGTGCTGCCATGTCGACGATGTTGCGCCATGTATGATCTCTAAAGTAAACACTGTCTACTTTGATCTATATTCAAGATAAGATAATGTATGTATTAGCCAGTATTTCAAGGCAAAAAATCTTCATCAAATGCACAACCGTGAATCACAGTGTCTTGGCAGACATTTTGGCTCAACTGCGATACGTACCTTGGTATAAGTCGTCACAAGACTGTCCACTTCATTCGCAAGGTCAGTGCTGAGTGGATCAGTACTCAAAATGCCCAATGATCGTAGATAATCATTGCGTGTAGTTGGGAGTAATCTGCCCGTTCCGAGAAAGCGATTTAGCGCCTTCATATCGGAAGAGTTAAAGATGAAAGCTCTCTCATCATCGCTGGCATCAAAGCCAAATCTGGAATTAGCACGATTATCGACGAACATCCCCTTGGGGAACCAGACCTTTTCGTCATCGATTGGTCTTGAAGGATCGAACGACATGTTTACTAATGAATTTTAAGGATGTTGGAAAAGGGTGAAATTTCCGATAGTTTTTAGAAATAATATTGATAAAAGCGTCTACGATGTCGACTAGAGGAGCAATGAAGTCTTCCCTCTTTTAAATGGTCTTAGTTCAACGAGAATTTGATACCAATGTACACTGGTCGTCGCACAATCATTGATCGAAATTCAACTCTCAAATATTGTGGCTGGCTATGAGTCTCCATGGGTTTGGAAATCCCCACGTTATAAAAACATGTTTATGTCCTCTTGCATCACAAGCAGTGAAACGGTGGGATGCTTGTGTTCCTCGACATGAGGTGATAATTGTAGGATGAATTCAAGAATAGTCGAAAAATTATAACGCCGCTTAGCATATGATATAAATTTAGCCTCAACACCTCAAGAACCTCAGTGATTGAAGTCTTGGCCATATATTCACCATCACTTGATACACGGAGCTATGAGTGAAAAGTTGGTATGTTCATTGCAAAAATGAGTGACACAGCTCACACATAAAGAAGAGACGCAAGATGATTGATGCGAGCTTTCTCTCGCAGCATACCAGTTGAAGCATATCACTGAGCGGCAACCAGCCAAAAATTTGGATAGCCAGAAAGTATCACCATCTTATTGGCGACGTTCAAATTTGGACGTACACACATGTGGAAGTCGAGATGAGAATTTTTGGGTTGCGTGGTAGCATCGAGGTGAGCGTTGATGGGATGAAACGCAGTTCCACTGATGGCTATGAGTACCAAGGCTTGCGATTGTGACTTCCCTCACTATGTGTCAGTAGCATAAAATGCGGAAAAAAAATGATGTAGGCCAATTATTTCCGTTATTGGGCGATTTGTTGGGCTTTCATGGCACTTTCTGCGATGCGAAGTCTTGAAAATCAGCCCACAATCAACTGCGGATAAGTTGTCAAAGAAGACTTCTTCATTCAGTCCGAGGGTATACTGAAGATCACAGCTCACACAAAACAGAGGTGGACGTTGCAAATGAACATTCCCCGCATCTCTGCAGCCGCAAGCCACTCGGCAAATAAGCCCAGCAGTCGCAAAATTTCTCACTGGCTATCTTGCATGCGGGGAACTAGTTGCTATTTTGAATCCAGTTGGTACTCTCAAGGATGTCCATCTAAGTTCTGGAATTCACGAATCAACCAACGGTATGTTTACACAGCAGATTAATTCGTTGGGACCTGATAGATTCTCGGACTTGCTTGCGACAGTTGCACTGCAACGAGGGAAAATCGACCCCTCATGTTAGTTTACTGATTATTATCATATGGCGGAAGCGGTGGGGTTTGTGTTACCACTTAATAATGTCTTGCCTCCCTTTCAAACGAATGAAACAATATTTGTTTCAGTCGCTGGAGAGTTGGACTGACGAATCAAGCTGGTCGCATAAGGACGGCTTGAAAAATAATCTCGTAAATGAGGGGGTCAACCATTCATCGCGACCTTCTTTGTCATGGAAACGACGTCGATTATTGCCCACTTGCCTACCAGTACTCCTCTTACCTCAATCAAACTTTCTTCAGGTAGCCACTGGCACAATCACCCGTAAATTTAGTTAAACTTCTGGGGAGCTGAGCTTGTGATGCTGCTCGTAACTTAGACATCGACCAATTCAGGCTTTCTTTACTTCCCAATCAGTTCTGTGATGTCCCATTAACTCCTTCAGCTTGATACCTTGCATAGAACGTGATATTGTGATTCAGCAGCGCTTTGAATGACTTTTCCTTACTTACTTTAGGGAAAGCTTGCTCTCTATTATTGAAGCAAACCAATGTTGGGTGAATAACTTACTTCTCTACCAATCTCGATCATTGGAACGAAGCATCATGAGAAATATCATCATCCCACAACCCTACTCACCATCTGGGTGGCAGGCTTATGCGAATGAGAAAGCCGTGGCCAATATTCCACTACAAGCAGCTCAAGATGTTAACCAGACTTCGGTAAGTGATCTTATGTGTTGGCTTTGTTGTACGGTAGTTGACTTTGGTTTCTACCATTCAGAGAATCGCGACATTCCGTGGAGTTTTCCTTAATGCTTCCACGGTTCTTCCACACTCTATGAGCCGAGTAAACACCTATGCAGATGTTCTTGCCCTTGACCAAACTACCATTATTGCGCCCAACGATAATGGAACAATTCTTATTGTCTCCAGGGTCCTCACTTCCAACGGTCCAGTAACCTTAACCGTCCCAAGAGGTCTTA